ACGCAGTAAGTAACCAATCTCATCCGAGCTTAAATCGAATTATAGTTTTTTTTTTCAGTTCCCCTAAACTAATTGCTAATTTTCAGTTAATCGGTGTCTACGAGGCCTTATAGGCGTAGAGTGCAAGCTACTATGGCTATACCGAGACGAAGCGGGTTCACTAATGCACTTGGTGGTGACCAAGCACTTGTTGCGACTGTGATCATATCTGTTCTAAGCGGCTGATGTCACGCATAGTAACTCTCCAGGCATGACAGTCTGCGACAAGGCACTCCATTAGAATACTTTAATCTAACTTTTAGGTAACAGTATATACTTGACTGCCCACTAAGCGACCAGCTTTGCGCCACTAAATTTCCTGAGTTGTTTTTTTCTTCAGTGTGCTAAAAGCTCTACGGTTACTCCGGATACCACTGCTTCGTTTTTTTGTCACGCGGAACCCTGTGTTGATTTTATTCCTGTCTGTGGCTCGGACTGTGAAAGTTGCCGCTATAAGCAAACATAGAAGTACCACTAACCAAACCATCTGTGATCCACTCTCCCCTCCTTATCTGATTTGCCACGGGTATTCGGTCTACTTATCGCGGACTCCGTGGGAGTGCGGTTTTTTGTCCCCGGCCTGTTCTAAGCGCAGGGAGGCTGAGTCCACTCAAAGCACCCAAAATCCACCGTTCACCATTCGGGCTGTTTGATCTTGTCGCGGTGAACCAAGCGTGTTGCCTAGCAGTGAATTTGACCAAATTTGGACGGGGTGGGAATTTGATCAGCAAATATTTGCGTTTTGGTCCCGCTGAGCAGCGTGGCGTTCTTCCCCCCACTCCCAGTAATCAGTCAGGGAGTATTGAACTGGTTTGCTCTGCCAACGTTTGCTCAGCAAATCTGCGTGCTTAGTTATATCAGCATACTGAGAAACCTTGACGTCAAACCACCAATCCGTGCGTGTAAAGTTGGACTGTCCACTGCTTTCCTACCACGTTCCACTATGTTACCGAGTAACTGCGTGGTTTTAGTAAACATTTGTGGCCTCTAACACATTTCCTGCCTGGCACCAGTGACTAACAGTTCCATTTATAAGTCTGATCACGCAGGCTTATGGGGCTAATTGACGGTTTGTTCTTATATCCGCTTTGTTTTTCAAACGCTGTGTGCTATTTTAGCTCATCTTGGAAAATCCGGGTTTCCCCTCCTTGAAACTGGCATCAGTATCCTTGAACAGACCGTGATGGGGGCAAAACCTGCCGCAAAGTGTCTCAACAAACTGATCGATGCCCGCCCGACCATCCAACCTTCATTCTCGTCTTCCGAGACCCTGACACCCCTGCAGCCCGCCTCATCGTCAGCTCCAACCGCTCTACGGACCACCGCCACTCAGCAGTACTTGCATCCTATTCGGCACTCACACCGTCGATCCCACCACCACAGCACCGGTACCAGTACAACCCTAGTTATTACTAGCACCTCTACAGCGGGTTCCCAAAGCACTGGTGCTGGTGGTGGTAGTAGTACTACGACTACTGAAGCAAGAAACTTGCCAGTTTATC